AATAAAGGTGTCTCCACACAATCAAGCGTCTAGCAAGTTGATAGTTCGTGTCCCATTCAACTTAACAATAGAGAAAACGAGGATGAGCCAATTGTTTTCAGCTTTTATTTTTCATTTTCTTAGCTAGCCAAAAGTTTAAATTTAGACTTTGTACACTCCTATGAATTAGAAAATGTGAGTATTTGTATTGGCACTGAATACAAGTATAATTTTGATTCGACCATTGCGAAGAGCTATTGAAATTGTCTTATGATTACTTCAACTAGGGTTGTAATCTACATTTAGCAAATTTATAATAGAATAGATAGAATTAAGCAGAAATAAATTTCCAATAAATTGATCCTCTAAAAGAATGGTTGGTGCGGAATAGAATGTTGATTACAAAATATATAACTAAAACGTATTGTATAAACACATGGTGTACAATGAGCATTTTTAATATTGCGTATTATTTTTCACATCTTCCATGCTCATTCACAAAAGATGTAAACGTTAATTTTGTATAATTTTATATGTTAGTTAAAACCTTATAATTACTATTATAACTATAACCTCAGTGCAACTACCTTACCAGATTTCTACACCACCCAAAGGTTGGCTGGTAGAGAATGCACAGGGCATTAAGTCTGCCCATGAACACACATGCATTAAGTTGTAAATAAATGAAAAATAAATTTGTCTTGGAAAAAATATCTATTAGTAAATACGTACCTCATGACATTTTTCTATGATTAATTAATTGTAAAATAATCAGGTTGATGCTGGTTGGATATCCAATATGCTGAGTCGTGACCACCGCTTTGTATATTAGGGGAAAACAGTAGAATTTTTATAAGAAGGATGAAAGGTAGACCGACATATAAACTAATGTTCACCTAATAGGTTTCTAATAGACATTGATCGTGTAACGACGGTTGACAGAGTCAATTCTGTTTTCTTATAACCTAGCCTATTGATCGATAATAACTATTGCGATTAACTAGTTATTATTAACTAAACTCAGAAGCAATCCAGCAGTTATTATTCATGTATCAAACATTCTGTCCCAATGAGAGCCGGTTGATAAAAGTTTAGGCCAACTATTACGTCAGAGGGGGCGATAGATGAGTATCTCTTAATTATTGTGTCGCATATTTCGTATTACAATAACGAAGTAAAACAATAACAAAAGTTGAGATGCCGGGCGCAGCTCGGTCACCGGCCAACTCCGATGATCATTTGAAAGCTTGTTGAGCGCGCCCTAATGAAAAGTTGCTAGTTATCGCCGACATACAACATTACTTTTATTCTCAACAAAACAAGAACAAAAGTGACGCTACAGTGAATCTTATTTATTCTCTTTCGCTATAATATAATACTGTTTTACTAACTTGTGTATAGTTGTTGTTTCAAAATGACGAGCAGTCAATACAAGAAAACAACTTCAAATGCGATCATCCGTGTTAAATACCCGAGCGTACTGATAGGGGATCGATAGAGAATTAATCTCGTACGTGAGCCACGTTCCATCCACGATTTGCACCATTGAATTTTTCGCAGCGCAGGTAAATATTTATTTTCAGTAAAGGAAAACATCTTGAGAAAATCTGCATGTTGGAGCAGAAATTCTGCAATAGAGTACCATCTATAAAATTCGAATCGAACGCAATCCGCTTCACTCGTGTTTAGCATACAGGCACTTAGAAATACCTCAACGGCGTTTTATGTTGCAGTATAATACTTAATTAGACGACTGAAATTCAGCAAAATAACATTAACAGAAGAATATTGTAATAAATTACATTAAAGCATTTCGTGGGTAGCGCTAGAAAAAAATGTTGTAGAACCTGGGGTGTTGGTATGGCACAAAGTGGAGGCCTTAGGTTGTATAACGTCCGTTATCGACGCCTACAATAAGTCGCGTTTTATACGGTTATTATAGCGCCATAAACGCCACCGGACGGTGTTTCATACAGTGCCGGGGCAGATTATACTGCCTATGGCCCCGATTCGGGGGCGGGTGAGAGACGCGTGGTGTTCGGGGTTGGGTACGCCGCCCACTGTCAGCTCCACGTGCCTCCCGACAGATGTGTCGAGATATCCGATATCGGGAGACACATTCATAATCTTTGCCTCAACCTCTCGCTTCTTATATTAAAATAACGAGCGCCGCTATCGCAGGTGCGAACTCGACAGGAATTAATAAAAATATGACTTTATTTACATTCTTGCAAAATAGCAATGTACTATTATAGGCCTATTAAATAGTATAAGGAATTCTGAGAAGTTTAAGAAGACATATTGGTTTACAAAACATACCGATGAAGGATTATATTTAAATTCAGTTAGCTACTCAGCTGCTCAGTGCAAATCATTCTATAGATGTGTGTAAACATCTGTTTGCATTGTATGCATTGATTTAAAGATTATATCAAATTTACAAAGAACAGATTCTTATAATATAAGCTATGTTTAGTTAAAACCTGGGTACATATAATATCCTAAACTATGATTTAGAAAAAAAAAGTTGCTATTTCATCAAGATTTTGCAAAGAACACATTTTAGTCAACTTTATCTCTATTCTACATCGTTCACAATTAGAATCTACTAAAAGTAGAATGTTGTGTGCCTTAACTCACTCACTCAAAGTTTCTTTTTCTAATTTCAAGACTTACCTCTAGATTAAATAAAATCGTATTCGACAAAAATATTTTATTGTTCTATAATAAAATATTTTTGTCGAATACGATTTTATTTAATAATGAAATGGGCAAATTTGTATGTAAATTTACTTCTGCAAGTACAGATTCGATAAGTACTGACAGACACGGATCACCTATAAGGCGCAAGATTTAATTAAAGTATTTAACTTAAAAAATAAGGGTTCCCCGTATAATTGAAGTCAAAGAAAAATAAAGTTAATTCAAGAAGCGACGGTGGAGAACTTTCATTAGCGTTTCACAGCTACAATTGCGAGTTCAAATAATTATGTTTACGGAATCCTTTTCTTACGCAGAGATTATTTATCTTCTCTATTGTTACGAGAAGTGACACGGACGAATTTCACGAAAATACGCCATTTATCTAGAGTGAGCACACAAAGGCAACACGAAACCCAAAACTTTTTACGTGGTCAGTGACAATGCTATTTCTCTCTTTTCTCTTAGCGTTTCATTCCCAACTTTTACGGGTATTGTATTTATTTGAACAGTTCGTGTGCATGGCAACAAAACATCCTCGAATTCAAAGTTGCTCTAATCCATTTAGAAGAAGTTTATGTAGTTTGATCGTGCGGTCCGATTTCATATTTGCTCAGCTAGCTCACCCGCAGATAACTTTACTCGGTGGTCGTCTATGTTGCTTACTTCCTACTTTATTCGGTTTACAGACCCGCATAAATAAAGAGAAATAAACTACACTCAACACGCAACTACATAATATCTATTGTACGCGCCGGATCATGGCGCTGCGTGCGTCGGTTCAAAAACTCTATGTTTTCTAAAAATCAAAACAATACTTTATCAATTTCTTCTACCGATACCGTGTTTTATGTAAGTGGCAAATGTTTCCAATCGCTTTTATTGGGAAGGCAATAAAGCAAAAACGATTCGCTTGATATACCGCACCGACCTTATAATGCATAAAGAAAATACGGTCATCTAACGGAACTCGATTGAACCCCTATTTGCCTTTTCGGGGTGTTACTATCTTGCCTCGATTCCTACGCAAAGCCACCCGGCCGCACGTGAAATACCAAGTGTGCCCTAGTTTCGACGGACGGATCGTGATGTTTGTTTAGGCCAGCCAAAGTCGTGAAAGGTGATGGACTAAATATGAACAAAAGAGCTACACTGTCAGATTATAAGTATCGTCTCGGGGGTAACATTTACAGGAGTATCGATTAGCGGTTTGTAGCTACAGGCGATTGTCATACAAGTTGAGTTTTGAAACGATCCTGTATAACTTTCGGGATTGGAGACGTTGATCCCGTGTCATGAAGACGTATTTCGCTCACACGTGCCTATATCAACACGTGGACACGGGACGAGTCAAAAGTTTCCTCGCGATACGTCTGATGTACACTGTTCACGTACATGTCAGCATAATCGCGGCGCCACCGACTGTTTGTGGAACGGCTCGCTAATGCTATTTGTCGTCGTGGGTGAATACGTCACGTCACGTATGTGTATCTTAATCGTTAGTAGGAACGCGCCTGCTTATCCTCGTGTTTTGTTTGTCACTTAAAAGTGAAAACTTGGTCTACGTTAGGTGATTAAGTATCAGCAAATGCGTCGTGTAGATCGCTGTGTTTCTAACACAATGAACTTATTTGTGCAATAGATTGTAAGCTAGGACGTAAGTTGTAGCATAGATTTCTGTAAATATCGGAAAACGATTCCAGTGCTAAACTCAAAATTGAAATTTGTAATTCATGAATTGTGCAAGGGTGAACTTGAACGATCTTTTGAGTCGGACACAGAACGTATTGGCGAAGTTGGCCGGTGCTGCGCCCCTGTGAATGTGTAGGAGCATTTTATTAGGTACCTATACTGTTTGGGTTGTCACAGGGACGCAAGTTTTATTAAAGTACTCGATGTACAAAAGCGGAGGCGCGCGGTGCCTACCCGCGCCAGCCTCATGGCACACAATACCCTGATAGATGTTGTCAAAAGCTGATTGACGTGCCTTTAGAAATTAACTTGACGCGAATTGCCTTTAATTAAAACGATATCAAAGATGAAACTTTTAAGACCGATAACATAAAACGAGGTAAATTCGAAAACTTTGCAGACTAAATATCTGAGGTTTTAGCTGTATCCTAAGTTTCCATACAACTTGATTGTAATTAATTTAAAAATAAAAATTTCTGCATGTTTTTGATGTATCTCGTTCGTTTTAATTCATATTTTACTCCATTAAAAATTGGAATCGAAAACAGAGTCTAAAATTAAGTCAAATTTGAGATGCAAATTATATTTTTTCGATGTACAGTGTTTAACCTTTGTATCTCTTGTTTCAGGTTTTGGTTTTGTCACGTTTCAAAGTGAAGACATAGTAGATAAAGTGTGCGAAATACATTTTCACGAAATCAACAACAAAATGGTAAGTGCAATTTTATTATCACTATATTATTACACCTCTAGATTTGATAAATACTGACATGTGATGACATTAAGTTGAATGGATTGAAATCCTCGCAATATTTGTACAATCGTTGGCTGAAGTTTAGTACTACCAATACGGATAGAGAACTTATAAATGTCGTGCGACCCAATATTGTCCTCCCAAAAATTGATTAAAAAGAAATACTTATTGGCATTGTGTATAAGATATTAGCAAAGCCACTGATGGACCATTCAGGTGAATAGAAGGCAAAGAGAAAGAAATTGCATTAAATTTTAATGTAGCAACACGACTGGACGGTGATTTGAAGGAATTTTAAGCATAGTTATATCTAGGAGGAAATGTTTTGATAAAAATAATGAAACTGTTAACGGAAAGATATACACTTATCTTGTCTACATATTGATACTAGCTGTATAATTCACTGCGGTTGTACAAGTGATTGTAAGACAGTGTACTCCGCTGCTTGACCTATGCCTCTCCTTAGAAATTAGGTTTTGGCCAGCCAGGTTATTATAGTGTTTGACATTAGTTTAGGTTGGTATAGACACATTAGAAACAAATAATAACTTTAATTTAATGTATCTGTGATGCCGTTAAAAACTTCAAAATCTTAAAATGACAAAAAATATAACATATTAACTATTATTATTATTGGTTTTATGGTGGTTAAGCTACAATTTACTAATTTAGGGTGAAACTTAAATCAAACCAACTGTACGTCCTGTAACTACATCCACATAAAATGTTTACGTCAAATGAAAATCTGGACACAAGATAAAGGGTTCACATCAATCGATTGTATGTCGTTTCAGCCAACGCATAGATGAAACTTAATGGTTAATCAAATACACTGTTTCTCACTTTGAAGGGTACTTTACAACTTTAATTAATCTTTGTAATCGTAACTTACAAACAGTCTCTTACAGAAAGATTAGTTCATGGACATGCTTACACAATAGAAAACTAATTGTAATAACAGTAGAAAATATAAATTATGGAATCTGTTACTATATATATATAGTAACAGATTCCATAATTTATATTTGTAAATAAATACAGTGAGAATTTACATCAAGTCTTATTAGAAAAAAATAAGGAAACAAAAACGCGTATTTGAAATACACAAAATTGTATGCAAGATAGTATATTTTATGTAAGTGTTGTGTGCTTCGCCGTCCATGACATGCAAACCAAGAATAAACCCGAGAAATTTAAATCAAGGTAAAAAAATATGATGTGTTATGGACATTAAAAATAGATAGATTTTAGTGACGTGTATCGGCAAACAGTATTTTAATTACGTTTGAAAATCTTGAACTTATTCATCTCATGCCGACACATTCTTTAATAATCGCCTACCTTTATCGCTTTATAAAATCCATACTAATATTATAAATGCGAAAGTGTGTCTGTCTGTCTGTCTTTTAAAGCTTCACGCTTAAACCGTTGAACTGATTTAGAAGAAATTTGGTACAGAGATCGTCCGAGTCCCGTGAAAGGAGATAGTTTAGTTTTTATTCCAGTAAATATCCGTTAAGTGGGTGAAAGGGGGTTGGAATTTTGTATGTGTAGTGTGTGAATATAATAACCGCTCAACCGATTTGGTATGACAATACTTTGATTCTTGAGGAGAGACATAAGCTATTTTTACCGCGATGCCCCGGGCAAAAGCTAGTACTGTGTATTTTTAACCGGTTATGTGTTTGACTTGTACTAATAAATGTACATCCGTCCCTATTTTCCCTCGTAACTACTAAATGGCTTAACCGGGTTTCTTAAATAATAGATTAGAACTATCAACTTAAAAAGAAGCAATCAAAATCGGCCAGTAGACAGACGTAACGGTACAGAACGTTATAATTATAACACACCTTTTGAGTGAGTGAGTTTATGACTGAAAAATATCAAGTGAATCAATACTAGTGAATTCAGAATAGCTACGGGAACGGCATATCTAGATAATTCACATTTATTACTTCATCTTGCTATTTGAACTTATAAAATTACAATTAGTATATGTTAATTTGAACTTACATTTAGTTATCGCTTACGATTAATCACGACACGTAACTTGCACTACATCTCTATTGCAATACATAACGTTAATAAACACTATTTACAAAAATTATTGACGTTCCAAGACGATCACACTAAACTCTATATACTACAAGAAATCTTTATCTAAGTAAATTAAAAGTTCTCGGTTAGATATCAATTAGAAACGAAGAAACAGAGCTGGCCAATCTCCAAATGGAGCCAATAAAATGCTACTAAAGCCAGCTTTTACTGTTTAGATTTTTCTCCACCAAACGGAAAGGGGTGACATAGTGACGTGTCTATTCCAGACGTAACCATGAATTTCATCAACGCTGATCTGATTAACGACTCAATTGCACTAGTAGTAGATTGATGTGGTTGTTGCAATATTACCTTGGTCGAGTTAAAATTTTAAAAATACATTGTATTTCTTCGATTTTTCTATGTAACTAAATTTATTAGAATGTTGACTTTTTGCTACAGAAGAAACAAAGCAAAATAGTTTTATTTGTTTTACTTGCGTCGTATCGTTTAGCGTCATCCATTTGTCGTAATACATTACCAGTCACCCTTTACAAGACTATTACAATCATGGGCGCCCATAAAGCTTGGCCCCGATTAACTTATAGTCGACTACAACACGCACACAACATGGCCATTGTCTTGCCATAATGCCACTTTATTATTTTAATGTAAATTTCGGGACATAATCAAATTACGGAGGTCATCCACGCTATCTTTGATAGCACTGAAATGAGTAATTAAGTAACTACAAGCCAGTCAACGCTGAATAACAACTATTTTAATTTATTAAATATTCCCACTTAACATGAAATTCAACCCGTTTCTTAACTTTTGAAGTGTTAAAACAAATGTCGATAATAAACTTAACACCCGTTAATTGCTATAATGAGATATTATCACGACAACAATACCTTTGTCTAGAACGATGTTGTGTCAAAATGTGAACTAGTCCTATTTCAGGAGTATAACAAGGAGTATATATACTTTACGTACAAAGGAGTACGCAGGAAAGTACGAAAAATCGGCGCCATGATGCTTATACCTACCTATTCAAGCCATTACTATTGTCTTTGTCGCTTGAAGTTCCCATCGCCATTATCTGTCGTCCGTGTTGAAAGGGCTGGGGAGCAGATACCACCCTTTCTCGTTGTCGATGCATATTCCTGATTATTAATGCTTGTTTTTTGTGTCTTGCCCTATTGTCTCGCACCTAATGGCTGTACGAAACTCACGGCATGTGTCGGGTAAAATCGCAAGGGTGATGCTTGCCCTAAGTGGAGCAAACAACGAACAAAGACATCAAACAAATGGGTAGTGTTTTAGAGTAATTACGGTTCGCTTCCGTGCAAAACGAGAGGTGTGCATGAAGCAAGCTTTTCTCTTCCGAGCCACGTAATGTATATACGACGAACCGGGAAACTAATCGCTTATAATTTCGTACCTTTTTTGTTGCGTGTCGAGGAAAATTATCAATGTTCTCAAACTCGGTTTTTACACAGTTTTGGTAAACAACGTACGACGTTCCAGTCACAAAGTAAAACAGAAACAGTGTTTGCTTAGCTCGTACTTTGTGACAATGTACAGAATGTTAACGTTACAATCATCGGTTATACGGTGTAAAAGTGACTCGTAAACAATTCAGCCCATTAAAAATTTGCCTTAGCATATCATAAACATATCTAATAGTTTTATTTACGTACGCAATAAAGAAGACAGAGGCGTCACGTCAGCGTCAACATTTACGCCACGGGTAGCTCGCCCTCGTAAATTTAATATGTCATCTCTTATATTAAAATGGTCGTTAAGCTAATAGCTGCTCCGCCTTCCCGCACGAAGTGATAGGGTGATGCCGCAGCTCACTTTGAATAATAAAAAATATCTTTATTTCTTCGACAATTTTTGTGTTTAATGGCCGAGGAGTAAATGAAACAGATTTAAAGGACGCTGCTGAATTATAATTTTGTTTCAAATTGTCAGCACTTTTTAATATCAATGTCTACACGCCGCTACAGTACCGTAATACGACCGCTTTGACGAATAAAATGTAGAACACGTTAAGAGATACGTAATGACGCTTTTAATAAGACAGTGTAGCCAGAAATTATTGCCTTATAAATGATTGTGATAAGTATAAATGCTAAGAGGCAAGAAGACTAGCGATGCTGCATTTTGAAACATAAATACGGATGTCCATTAAAACGCTCGCAACAAATTCCTTTCATTCTATTACGTCCTTACACATTACTCACTTAATTGCTTACCATGAATTTTAACAACAAAGCACCAAACCACCTCGAAATGGCTAAAATATAGTGTAGTTTAGATTTCACCTACTAACATCAATTTCTATTTGCCGGATTTAACCGTCCCTGGGACGCGTACACCTGCGTTTCTTTATGAGGTCACACCTGTTAAAGTCATATTGCTACACGATATATGAGGGTGTACGCATCAAATTTGGGCTGCAGATATTTCTACTAAGTGTTCCGACATGCCAAGTTTCAATAGAACATTGCCTTTTGTCACGTATATCGGTAAATTGTGTAGTTTCATCGGATTTAAACTCTCATACCAATTTCACCTACCACTGGCGTACCTACCTTTGAAAAAAGATTTATTGCTTTAACTTTAACAGCATTCTATCTTTTAGACATACTTTTTATTGGTACTGTTTTTGTATTTAAGAAAATGATTGCAGATACATGGAACTTAGTATTACATTAAAATTACAAATAAAAACGAAATCCACTTATTTTTATTTTGTGACCTTAACCAAAAGAACGAAAATTAGAGTCAGGTGTAGTTTTATGGAACATTTTGTTAAACGTACAAATAATGGCTTACAAAACAACATGACAGTATGAACGTCGATGATTCATATCCAAGTTTTCTTTTTTTTCACACACGCATTTGCG